CGTGAGGAAAAATGTCTTTGCTGAAAGAGTGGTTAAACATTGGAGCAGGCTGCCCAGGGAAGGGGTTGAGGCACCATCCCTGGAAGTATTTAAAAGACGGGTAGATGAGGCGCTTAGGGACATGGTTTAGTGGGCATGGTGGTGTTGGGTTGATGGTTGGACTCGATGATCTTGGAGGTCTCTTCCAACCTTTAATGATTCTATGATTCTATGATTCATATATACCTACATACTTCAGAGATTGTATCATGCAGTCCTTAGTTCACTAGTTTTATTATTGTGTCTTCGCTGTATTTATTCAGTGATTCAAGTAACCTCCTCAGTATCTTGAGGTGTTTGGATTTTTTTTTTCCTTCAAACTGTGGGGAGGCCTTTAAATTGTATTTGCCATTTATATGTATAATTTATGGCTGTTGTATTTTATTTGTTTTATATTCATGCGATATGTGCTGTGCTCTGTTTTGTTACTGAAAATTCTAATATCTTAATTTAGCCCAGAAGTTCTTCAGGACAAAGACACTGTTTTATGTGCAAACCTACATGAATCTAGGTGCCATTCCATAAGTAATACACCATTTTATTGATTCAGCACATTATATTATTATTAAATACACAAGATCTGGCCACATAAGTTTTGGTTTAGAAACTGCTTATGTGATGTTTAGTCCCCTTAAAAAATATATCTGACTTGCTAGCTTGAAGGGCTAAGCAGATGATGTATCAAAAGTATCCTCTGCCTAATTATTGTTTGTAGAAAGGCAACAAGTGATGGATATATGTCTATTCAAAAAAAAGTTTTGTAGTGGTTGCTTGCAGTTCACTAAATCATAATATTCTCTTTGTCACAACTGATTAGACTTCCTGTTAAGCAACGGTCAGTTAATCCAGACTTTAGTCATCAGGTTACCTGAACTTCTTTTGCTTTTATTCCCATGCATCCATTACGTTAAATGAGATATGTGACCTTGGAGCTTGGTGGGGACAAACTTTCTGTTAAGATGCACTTGAGACACTATGGAAAATAGCGACTTAAGTCACCCTCTACACTTACAGTTCCTCAGTACTAGACTAGTAACTACAGCAGTTTGGAAATACAGCTCATTTTCTGTTACTGATACATATCTATACTGCAGATATTAAAATTTCTGATGGATTATTTTCTCTCTCTCTCCTCTCCCCCCCCCTCCCCCCTGCCCCTCATTTGATGAGGATATTTCTACTTTCCTACCTGGAAACACTAAGAAGTTCCTTGTAAATTCTTTGCTTTTCTCTCAGGAAGAGTTATTTTTAGTTAACACTTAGGTTTTCCTTAATGTGTTTCAGGTTGTGATAAACAACGCAGCTGGAAACTTTATTTCCCCTTCTGAACGACTTTCTGCTAATGCATGGAAAACGATAACTGATATTGTGCTTAATGGTACTGCTTTTGTAACTCTGGAAATCGGAAAGGAGCTTGTTAAAGTACAAAAAGGTATCTTAAACTTAAGATAAATGGTAACTACGCATTGTGACATTATTACTTGCTTTCCTTGCCTTACTATTATTAGAGCCAGTTTTGAGAGTTTGAAAAGAAACACAATTTTTAATATTCTACATCTTTTTTACAAAGAAACTTCATTTTGAGTAAAGCCATACTTAAATATCACACAGTAGAACTGGCTAGCGATTACTTCATTGTAGAATCTGCCCTTAAAATTGGACCCAGAGGCCATGAGGTTGAATAAAAAAATCTGATTGCAGAGTTTGTACTAGTTATAAAATGTTTTTAAAATTTTAAAAATAAGGCTTTGTTTAAAATATATGTTATTTCTTTTGAGTCTTCTATATCTATGTTGGTTTAATTGAGCAACTGAACATGTGGCATTTATTTAAATGAACAGCAAGTCAGGATATCACTTCAAATTTTCCTCCTACACTTAAATAAAATTCACAGCTGTGGTATTTGACTAATAGCACTAGAGAATATTACCTTTGAGATAATTTGAAAAAGAAATTAAAAATTGAAATCAGTATTAGGTTTTATCTTCCCAGGTATAATTCTTAGTTCTAGACTACCTAGGAGTTTAATCCAATATTTTGGCTTTACCTTAAAAATATGATAGTTCTTTGATACACTATTTAGCCAAAGATTTACTTAACCAGGTTATTGTCTTTAAGGGAAAGATAACGTATGCCCTTCTATGTTATATCATAGATTATATACAAAGAACTGCTTTCATTTTACATTATCTTCTAGTTATGAATTGGAAAACATTGAGCTTATTATTTGATCAGAATGCTATCATCTCAAATAGCATTTAAAAGCAGTGAGGTATATTATGGTTTGCCATGTGGCCTTAGTTCTGAATCCTGTTTCCTAGGTACAGCCACCGTGTTGAAATAATCCTTTTGTATTTGCACTGTATTTCTCTAAGTCTTGAATTAGTTGAATTTCTTCAAAACTCCTCTCCAAAAAGTACCCAGTGGGTTTATGCTATTTAATGATAACAATATAAAGTTAATGTTGTTTCAGTAAGTCTGTAACAGTTTTGGTCAGTTGACAAGGTATTTCCCACATATATTTTAGCAGCACCTGAAAAAAACCATTTCCACCATTCTAGTGCTAATATCCCCACATTAAAAACCCATCCCCAACTCTGACTTACTATATCATTATAGCAAACTATTGTAATAGTTTGCTTTATGGCCTTCCAGTTGCATGCAGTGTCTCCCTATAGTAATATGAAATACGGCTTTAAAAATGCCTTTGTCTCTGCTGCTGTTGAATGAAAAGCTACTTTCCTTGCTTCCACCTTCATGTTCGGCAAAATCCAGAAGTCATTCACCTTCATGCTGTCTCTCTTCCTCTAAGCTTCCAAAACATGTGAATTTCTTTTGCTATTATTTGCATGCCTTCTTTCTAGGGGATTCCATTTGTATGAAAGACTTTTTATTTAAGGCTTTCTTTAAGACATGTTTTTGCAAGTAAATCAGGCATACCTGTTTGTCCTCTCATTCTCCACCTTCATTTTCTTTTTACTTGCTTGTTTTATAAGTTTGAGCAGAGACCTTAGTTTCTGCTACCCAATGCAAATATTTTAGAACAACATAGTCTCTGAGGATGCTATATATCTGACAGTTACTAGAACACTGGCACATCCTTTAGGTCTGCAGCATGACCTACATTAAACTTAATTTAGTAAATAATAAAAGTGCTCTGATTTTAGACTCTTAAGTTTGTACTGGTATTTAAAAGGGATTTGTAATCTGCTAGTGTGTTATTTATTTATGCACTGAAGTTTTACAGAATTAGAGGAGTTAATTGGTTAGATATTTTATGAATATCATAGAATCATAGAATGGTTTGGGTCGGAAGGGACCTTAAAGATCATCTAGTTCCAAGCCCCCTGCCATGGGCAGGGACACCTTCCACTAGACCGGCTTGCTCAAAGCCCCATCCAACCTGGCCTTGAACAATTCCAGGGATTGGGCATCCACCACCTCTCTGGGCAACCTGTTCCACTGCCTCACCACCCTCATAGTGAAGAATTTCTTCCTTATATCTAATCTAAATCTACCCTCTTTCAGTTTAAAGCCATTTCCCCTTGTCCTATCACTACATGCCCTTGTAAAAAGTCCCTCTCCAGCTTTCTTGTAGACCCCCTTCAGGTACTGGAAGGCTGCAAGAAGGGTCTCCCCAAAGCCTTCTCTTCTCTAGGCTGAACAACCCCAACTCTCTCAGCCTGTCTTCATAGGAGAGATGCTCCAGCATCATCCAGGATCATCTTCATGGTCCTCCTCTGGACTTGATCCAACAGGTCCATGTCCTTCTTATGTTGGGGGCCCCAGAGCTGAATGCAGTATTCCAGGTGGGGTCTCACCAGAGCGGAGTAGAGGGACAGAATCACCTCCCTCGACCTGCTGGCCACGCTGCTTTTGATGCAGCCCGGGATACAGTTGGCTTTCTGAACTGCAAGTGCACATTGCCAGGTCTTGTTGAGCTTCTCATCAACCAACACCCCCAAGTCCTTCTCTCAGGGCTGCTCTCAATCCATTCTCCACCTAGCCTGTATTTGTGCTTGGGATTGCCCTGACCCAGGTGCAGGACCTTGCACTTGGCCTTGTTAAACCTCATGAGGTTCACACGGGCCCACCTCTCATGCCTGTCAAGGTCCCTCTGGATGGCATCCCTTCCCTCCAGCATGTCGACCGCACCACACAGCTTGGGTCATCTGCAAACTTGCTGAGGGTGCACTCAATGCCACTGTCCATGTCGCCGACAAAGATCTTAAACAGTGCCGGTACCAATACCAGCCCCTGAGGAACGCCACTCGTCACTGGTCTGCACCTGGACATGGAGCCTTTGACCGCACATCTTTGAGTGCAACCATCCAGCCAATTCCTTATCCACCAAGTAGTCCATCCGTCAAATCCACGTCTCTCCAATTTAGAGACAAGGATGTCGTGCGTGACAGTGTCAAATGCTTTGCACAAGTCCAGGTAGATGACGTCAGTTGCTCTTCCCTCATTCACCAATGCTGTAACCCCGTCATAGAAGTCCACCAAATCTGTTAGGCACGATTTGCCCATAGTGAAGCCATGTTGGCTGTCTCGAATCACATCCTTATTTTCCATGTGCCTTAACATAGTTTCCAGGAGGATCTGCTCCATGATGTTCCCAGGCACAGAGGTGAGACCAACTGGCCTGTAGTTTCCCGGGTCTTCCTTTTTTCCCTTTTTAAAAATGGGGATTATGTTTCCCCTTTTCCAGTCAGTGGGAACTTCACTGGACTGCCACGACTCAAATATGATGGATAGTGGCTTAGCAACTTCATCCGCCAGTTCCCTCAGGAACTGCAGGTGGATCTCATCGGGGCCCATGGAC